CGGAGGGGAGCGGGGCCGGGATTGTGCTGGGCCCCCCCAGCAGCCCAATAGCGAGGGGAGGGGTGCCCCGGCAGGACTCTGCAGCCCCCCAGAATCACGAAGCCGGGAGGAGCGAGGGGCAGCGTGTCCCCACCCCCGCGCACCGCCGCCGTGCCTCAGTTTCCCTGCCCCGCACATCACGCCACAGCAAGGCAGGAGGGTAACGGTGGTGGCAGCCACGGTGGTGCAGGTGGGTCCCCCAAAGCTGGTGCTGCTGCTGGCAAGGGGTCCTGACGTGCTGCTCATGCCCCCGTGGTCCCAGCAGCCTGTGGCAAGCCCAGCCATGACCCCCCCAACTCACCCAGCAATGGGGGGTTCCCCAGGCTCGACAGCCCAAAGCTGAGGGAGCGATGTGGCCCCTGACAGCCCCCGGCATGGTGCCCACCATTGAGCAATGGCCCTGATAAGGGGCTGGGGGCATGAGGCCAGCTCGCGTCACCAGCTCCCAATGGCATGGGGTACACAGGAGCCGCCTAGCAAACGCCCTCCGTGGGGCAAGAGCCACGTGGCCACGTCCAGTGACCTCATGAGGGGAAGTGCTGGCCTTGAGAAGGGACAGTGCAGGGACCCCACAGGGCTGGGCAACAGCCTGGCATTGCAGATGGCAAGGGATGGAAGTTGCCCCTTGCTCATGGGGCCAAAACCTCACAGTGCAGGTGGACCAGACGGGGCCCAGGTCCTGCCCATGGGGGAGCCAGAATCTGGCCCTTGCTTGTCCATCACTTTCCGTGCACTAGAGGTGGGCACCAGGAACATCGTGCTCCCAAGCCAGGTCCTGATGGGACTGAGCCCTTCCCCAGTCTGTGTGTGCCCCAGGCAGCAGCACTGGGTACCAAACTGCCCTGTGTGAGACCTGGGGTGGCCCCAGAGGCTGCTAAACCCAGCAGAGCCCAAGTGACAGTCTTGGCCCAGCAGCCAGAAGGTGACCGGGGTGGCTGCTCTCACCACAGGCAGCGTAGATGAGGTGGGAGAGCCCAGCACTACGTACGCTCCAGCACTGCATACACCCCAGTGAGATGTACACCCTGGCACTGCCTATTCCCTGGTGCTACACACACTCCAGCCACAGCCAGGGAACAACCGTGACGCCAAAGGGGGGAAAGTCCTGGGCAGCCAACACAGGGTAAGAGACAGGGCCAAGGACAGCTGGTGAAATCTGCAGTGAGGTCCTGAAATGGCCCTTCAGTGCAGCTGTGAGACCCAGGGACAGGGACTGGGCTCCTTCTCCATAGCCTTGCATGTCGCGTGGGGATGGAGGCACCCATATTGTGGGACATTCCATGGCTGGGACACAGCCCTGCAGCCCCACTGGCCCTTGGCACAGCCGTGACACTGGCCATGGCCTCCGTTAACCATTAAGACCTTGCTCAAGACGCCTGACTACCTGGTGCCTTGGCACCATGCTCCCTGTGCCAGCACTGCTTGGGTTTGCCCAACACCTCCATACGTCTCTGTGGTCCCTCTCCCATGCCTGTAGCCCGCTTGTGCAGAGGCCCTGCGTGTCCAAGCCACCACTGTTGCGGACTCATCTTTGCTGGCTTTCCATGGCCAGCTGGTGCCCTCTCCTGGGGAGCAGGGCTGGAGGCACAGCCTCACAGCACCCCAGCAACACGGCACCCAGTCTCTCGCCGGCAGCCTGCTGGGACATGGGAGCTGCTGGTGGAGTGGCCAAGACAACAGGTATGTCCCCTCACTCTTGGCCCTCCAAGGGAGCCAGCTGGAGAGACTAGAACCTGGTCCCTGCCTGTATCCTGAGGAAGTGCCCCTTGGGCTGGCGGGGACCCCAAAGCTGTCAGGGCCAGCAGGATGGCTGCCCAGGGGACATGGGCTGTGGTGGTCGAGGAACCTAACCTTCAGGATGGAGTCTGGGAGTTACGGGGACATGACCCTTTGCGGTCCTTGGGGACCCCCTTAACACCATGGTCCTGGAAGGGCTTGGTGGAGGTGGGCGGAGGGGGGGCGCACAGGGGACGGCTAGCCAAGGGGCCATGGGTGCAGGATGGAGGAGATTGTTGGGGGAGGTGCTCCCTGTAGAGGGGATGGGACTGTGGGAGAAGGCAGGATCAAGCAGGGAAAAGAATTAGGATGGGGCAAAAGGGACTAGAGTTATTGGAGTTGAGGCAGGAGGTGGCAAAGGAGAGGCAAATGTGGGGGAGATTGGGGGTGTTAGGTTGGGATGGTGAGTGTCCCAGAAGTGTTGGGGTGAGGGTGGCATCAAGGGAGACTGAGGGTGTTCAAGTGGAGCACTGGGGAGTCATGGAAGATTAGAGAGCACATGAGGGTGTTGTGGGGCTGGATGGGTACCCAGGGGGCTCTGAGGGTGACAAGGGGGTTGGAGGTGTCCAGTGGGGGTGGAGGCATCCAAGGAAGACCAGAGTGGTAGGGGATGACAAGGAGGACTGGGGTGTCAGGATGGATGGTGGGGGGTGCCACGGGGGATCTTGGCTAACTGGGGGTCTTTCAGGGTGACTGGGAAATTGGGGGAAGGACCTGGGTGGGTGTATGTGTGTGCCAGAGAGGGATCAGAGATTGTGCCTAGGGGACTGAAGGTTGATAAGGGTTTGGGCCTCAGTGCAGAGGGGCTGGGGGGAGTAGAGGGTTGGAGTGGAGGGGTGGCTGTGTCACCTGGGG